AGTTTAACGTATTCATCTAAACTGGGTTAATTCTTCAAAGGTCTTTAGCATAGCATGCCAGCATCCCCTCTGTCAACCTCCACCCCCAAGCTCTGAAAAGAACACATATGACACTGGACAATGCACAATGGAATGAGTAGGGAGACAGAAACAAATGGCTGTTGTGATGAGAGAGTCAAGAGATTCCTGATCAGGCCAAGGGTCTAGGAAAAAGACAGGCAACAGAGGATGGCAACAAGAGAGCATTGTATCCCCCAGAAAACTACTTTGTTCATGAGGGGACACAGTCAAAACTATTGTAAAAAATTCTCTAATTTCCCATAACACAAATATTTTATAAAACCAAGAATAGCTGAATGAAATGGCAGTTGATAAAGCAGAAAAGTCTAGATTGATGAAGTCCAGACATGGTCAATAGCTAATTAAATTCAACACACAGTTTCTATCATCCTTGTGCTTTGACTTTCTGATATTTACCCTCTTTTTAGGGAGTTTCTTCTTGGCTGAAGTCCCTGAAGAATAAGAATAAGAATAATCTATTTAGTCGAAAGTAGCAGTGAAGTGGGTCACTTTGATCATTTTAGTTAAGACAGAAAAAAAAGCATCATAAAAACCTTTTTTTAACCAGTGACTAGTCTAATTATATCACCATTTTTCATTATCAGCTATAAGCTGTGCTATGTCATCAGAGAATTGAGTGTTTCCATATATGTGTGGGTGGGGAAAGGGCTTGGAGAATAATGGAGTAGGTGAAAGGTTTGAAAGAAGAGGTAAGAAGTGGCCACACTTTCCTGTTGCATTTTTTTTTTTATTCAGCCTTTTGTGAATAGCTACCAGTATTTACAAGCTTCTGCATTTTATTTTTTGTTGTTGTTGTTGTTGTTGTTGTTGTTGTTTCCTAGCTTTTTGGTTGTTTGTTTGGTTTTATTTTATTTTTTTTTAATTAATTTATTTACTTTTTAAATACATTTGTCTCTGCCTTCCCCCCCTCTTTCCCTTGCCCCCTCCCACCTTCCCTCCCTCAGCTCTTCCCCTTTGGTTTTGTCCATGAGTCCTTGCTATATGTTCCTTGACTTTCCCCTTCCCTTCCCTTTCCCTGCCCCCCCCCTTCCCTCTTGTCTCTGTTGATTTCTTTTCCTTTCAGTGTTGCTGGTCATATTTGCCTTGCTTCTTTGCATTGTTGGTTAGGTTCCGCTTATAGGTGAGATCATATGGTATTTGTCTTTCGCCCCCTGGCTTATTTCGCTTAGCATGATGCTCTCCAGTTCCATCCATGCTGTTGCGAAGTTTAGTACTTCTTTTTTTCTTTCTGCTGCGTAGTATTCCATTGTGTATATGTACCATTTTTTTTTAATTTATGACACTATTATAGAGGCTCCCCATTTTCTACCTCTTTTCCTGCCTCCACCAAGCCTCCAACCTCTGTTGTATTCTGGACCTATATAAATGTCATTTTGAGGACTAAAATAGGACACATTACTACCTGTTTTGAAATTTGCATGAAAGAACATCTGTTCTATTCCTAAGGGGAGAAAAATCTCTGTGTAGGACTAAATATAGGAACACAGATGCAACAGTAGAAATCACATGTATTTATTCATCTAAAGTAAAGGAATACTTTATAAGTCAGTGAGAATATTTTCTATATATGACTTTAATATATCTAAAAATAATTTTACTCTCCTTTAAACAATTCATTTCTTTTTAAAAATTTATTCATTTTAAAAAACTTTTTCACATACATTTGTCTCCCTTTACCTGCCACCACTTTTACCTGCCCCACCCACCCCCACCTCCCCACCTCAATCCTTCCCCAACTTGGCTTCCTCCATATGTCCTTCAAGCCTGCTCCTATATCTGACCTTTCCCCTTCCCCTCCCAGATACCACCGTCCCTCCCTCCCTCAGTCCTCCAATTCCAATCAGTTCCTTCTTTCTTTCAATGTTGCTGGTCATATTTTCCTTGCCTGCTGGCTTTGCTGATTATGTTCCACTTATAGGTGAGATCATATGGTATTTGTTGTTCACCATCTGGCTTTTTCACTTAGCATAATGCTGTCCAGTTTCATCCATGCTGTTGTGAAGGATAGTAGCTCTCCCTTCCTGCTACATAGTATTCCATTGTGTAAATGCACCATAGTTTTTGATCCACTCATTTACTGATAGGAACTTAGGCTGCTCCAGCACTTGGCTATTGTAAATTGTGTTGTATAAATATTGGGGTACATAGGACTTTTGAGTTGGTAGTTTGGGATTCTAATCTCAGCAGTGGATTTTCTGGGTAAAAAGAGTTCCATTTTTAGCTTTTTAAGGAAATTCCAAACTGTTTCCACAGTGGCTGCGCCAGTCTGCATTCCCACCAACAGTGTACTAGGGTTCCCTTTTCTCCACAACCTCACCAGCACACATTGTTTGTTGATCTGTTTATGATGGCCATTCAGACAACTTTGAAGTAGTATCTCATTGTGGTTTAACATTGTGGTTCTCTGATGGATACTGATGCTTGAGCATTCTTTCATATGTCTCTGGGACCTCTGTATCTACTCCTTGGAGAACTGTCAGTTCAGGTCCTTTGCCCATTTTTTAATTGGATTACTTGTCTTCATAGAGTGGAATCATGTGAGTTCTTTATATATTTTGGAGATCAAACCTCCATCTGACATATCATTGGCAAATATATTTTCCCATACATGTGGTTCCCTTTTCATTTTGCTGGTGTTTTCTTTAGCCATGCAGAAGCTTCTTATTTTGATTAGGTCTCACTTGTTTATTCTTTCCTTTATGTCCCTTGCTCTAGGAGACATATCTATTAAAATATTGCCAGTTGGGATATCTGAGTTTCCTGCCTGTGTTCCCCTCTAGGACTTTAATGGTGTCATGATTTATATTTAAATCTTTTATCCATTTTGAGTTTATTTTTTGTGTATGGTGTTAGTTGGTGGTCAAATTTCAATGTTTTGCATATAGCTGTCCAGTTCTCCTAACACCATTTGTTGAAGCAGCTATTTTTACTCCAATTTATGCTTCTGCTCCCTTTGTCAGACATTAGTTAACAATAGAGACATAGGATTCTTTCTGGGCTCTTTATTCTGTTCCATTAATCAATGTGTCTGTTCTTCTGCTAGTGCCAAACTGTCTTGATTACACTGGCCTTGTAATATAGTTTGATATCAGGTATTGTGACCCCTCCTACTTTGTTTTTCTTTCTTGAAAGTGCTGCAGCTATTCGGGGTCATTTATGTTTCCATATAAATTTTTAAATGTTTGTTCTATGTCTGTAAAAGTGCATTGGTATTTTAATAGACATTGCATTGAATCTATCAATTGCTTTGGGTAGGATGAACATTTTGATGATGTTAATTCTTCCAATCCATGTACACAGTACATGCTTCTATTTATTTGTGTCTCCCTTAATTTATTTCTTCAGTGCTGTACAGTGTTCTACATAGACGTTTTTTACCTCCTATGTTAAATTTATTCCCAGGTACATTATTTTTCTAGTTCCTATAGCAAAGAGGATTTTTTTCTTGATTTCTGGTTCTGATATTTCATTTTTGGTATTCAAAAATGCCTTGGATTTCTGAATATTGACTTTGTATCCTGCTGTTTTCCCAAATTTACTTATTAGGTCAAGTAGTTTTTTGGAGGAGTCTATGGGGTTTTCCATGTGCATTATCATATAATCTGCAAACAATGATAGTCTTACTTTCCCCTTTCTGATTTGGATGTCTTTTATTTCTTTTTCTTGTCTGACCATGGTGGCTATGACATCCAAGACTGTGTTGAATAGAAGGCATGAAAGCAGACATCCTTGCCTTGCTCCCGATCTTGGTGGGAAAACTTTCAGTTTTTGCCCACTGAGTATGAGGTTAACTGTAGGTTTTTCATATATGGCTTATTATGTTGAGGTATGCACCATTTATTCCCACTTTGCTGACAGTTTTTATCATAAATGGATGCAGTACCTTATCAAATGCTTTTTCTGCATCCATTCATATGATCATGTGGTTTTGTCTTTCCTTTTGTTTATGTGATGTAATACTTTTATTGATTTGCCAATATTGAGCTTTCTTTGCATCCTTGGGATGAATCCCACTTGATCATGGTGGATGATCTTTTCTATGTATTGCTGGATGTGGTTTGCCAATATTTTGTTGAGAATTTTAGCATCTGTGCTCATCAGCAATATTGACTTGTAGTTTTCTTTCTTGGTTGTGTCTACAATAGGTGTAGGGACTAGGATGATGCTGGCCTCATAAAGAAAAGTTTGCCAGTGTTCCCTCTTCTTGGACTTATTCAAATAATTTGAGAATACAGGGATGAGCTCTTCCTTAAAAGTTTTGTAACATTTTCCTGTGAAACTGTCCAGTCCAGGGCTTTTATGTTCTGGGAGTTTTTTGATACTACATCAATTTCACCAGCTGTTATGAATCTGTTCAGGTTTTCTGCTTCTTCTTCATTACATTCTAGAAGGTTATATTTTTCTAGAAATTTGTCCATTTCATAAAGGTTTTCAAATTACTTGGCATGTAATTGTTCATAGTAATTTCTTATAATCCTTTGTATTTCTGTGGTATCAGTTGTTATTTCTCCTCTTTCATTTCTGATATTATTTATTTGGATCCTCTCCCTTTTTATCTTGATGAGTATGCATAAAGGCTTGTCAATATTGTTTATCTTTTCATGGAACCAGCTCCTGGATTAGTTGATCCCTTGACTTGTTCTCTTAGTCTCTATGCCATTCAATTCTGCTCTAATCCTGATTATTTCCTATCTTCTACTCATCCTGGTCTTTGTTGTTGTTTCTCCAGTTCTTAAAGCTGGAGGGCTAGGTCATTTATTTGAAATGTGTCTTGCATTTTAAGGTAGGCCTGTATTGCTATGAACTTTCCTCTCAGGACTGCCTTTGCTGTGTCCCATAGGTTTTGGACTGTTGGATGTTCATTTTCATTTGTTTCCAGAAACTTTTTTATTTCTTTTTTTTTAAAGTTATCAATGGGTTTATTGATAATATTACAGCAGAAGGGGTCAAACAGCTCCACGTGGTGTTTTGAAATTCATCCCAACTGTAAGCTGAGTGACCTGCAGGTTGGACAGACTGCCAAAGTCCAAGAACTTCAGCATCTCCTTAGTGTCAGGGTCAACTTCATTGATCTCCTGATCCAGGGCTGAGACCTTGGGAACATAATTATCTCTCCTCTCTCTCTCCTCTTCCTGCAGCTTGATGGAGATGTCTCTCACAGGGCCTCTCTGGATCCACTTCATCAGATGTGTGACATAGCCCACTATCTTGTTTCGGAGCTTCTTGTTGGGGATAATGGCGATCTCCTCACACACGCGCTTGTTGGTGTGGAAGTCATTGCCCAGGCGCATGTAGTACTTCTCGATGATGACCCAGGCCGCCTTCTTGACAGCCTTGGTGCAAACACGGCCCATCTTCATGGGTCCCTGATAAAAGAGGTGAAACTTTTATTTCTTCTTCTACCTCATTATTGTCCCATTCATTGTTTAATAGTGTACATTCAATATCCATGAGTTTCCATGTTTTTTAGTATTTTCCTTGAGGTTGGTTACTAGTTCAAGCCCTTGTAGTCCAAGAAAATGCTTGTTATGATTTTGATTTTCCTGAATTTATTGACTCTTGTTTTGTGTCCTATCATGTGGGCTATCTTTTAAAATGTTTCATGTGCATTTGAAAAGGATGTGCATTTTGCTTCTTTTGGATGAAAGGTTGTATAAATATCAGTTAAATCTATTTGATCTAATGCATTATTCAATTTCAAAATATCTTTATTGATGTTTTGTTTGGAAGATCTATCCATTTTTGACAGTAGGGTATTAAAATCCCCTACTCCCAGTATCACTGTCTGTATCTTTCTTGAAGTCTTCCAAGATTTTCCTGATATATTGGGGTGCTCCTATGCAAAGTTCAGTTATGTTTACAATGCTTATGTCTTCTTCCTGTGAGTATTATCAAGAATCCTTCAGGGTCTCTTTTTATGGCCTTTGTTTTGAAATCTATTTTGTCTGATATAAATATTACTACACACCCCCTTTATTTTTCCTGTCCACTTTCTTGGAATATTTTTTCCATCCTTTTACTTTCAGTCTGTGTAGGCCCTTTGTTCTGAGATGGGTCTCTTATAGGCAGCATAGTGTGGGTCATGTTTTCTTATCCATTCAGCTACCTTGTGTCTTTTTATCGAGGCATTTAATTCCATTACATTTAAAGTTATTATTGATAGGTACTTTTTTTTCATTTTGTATCTGTTCTACTCTTTCTCACTCTTTTTCTTCATCTTCTTAAAGCAGTTCCTTTATCATATCTTGCAGTGCTGGATTGATGGAAGTGTATTCTTTCAGCCTTCTGTTGTCTGGAAAACTCCTTCTTTTGCCTTCCATTTTAATTGAGAGCCTTGCTGGGTAGAGTAGTCTTGGCTATAGGCCCTTCTTTTTCATGACGTGGAGTATTTCTTGCTGTTCTGTTCTGGCTTGTAGTGTTTCTGTGGATAACTCAGCTTCTAGCTGTATTGGGGTTCCTTTATCTCTTACTACCTGTTTCTCCCTTGCTGCCTTTAAGATTCTCTGTTTGTCTTTGATATTTGTCATTTTAATGAAAATGTGTCTTAGAGTAGGCCTCCTGGTGTTCCCTTGGAATGGTACCCTCTGTGCTTCCTGAACTTGTGCAACTTTTTCACTCTTCCAGTTAAGGAAGTTTTCCATCATTACTTTTTCAAACAGTTTCTCTATCCTTTCCTCCTCTTCTTCTCCTTCTGGAATCCCTATTATATGGATATTATTATGTTTCAGGTTGTCCTGCATTTCCCTGAATGCATCTTCATTTTTTTAGCCTTTTTGGCCATTTTCTTGCTCTTTCTTGGAGCTTTGTTTACCTTGTCCTTCAACTTACTGATATGATCCTCTGTTTCATCAAGCCTACTTTTGATTCCTTCTACTGTGTTCTTCCATTCAGAAACTGTATTCTCCATTTCCTCTTCCCTCTTATTGATAGTTTCTATATCTTTTTAATGTTGATATAGTTTGCAGTAAGTTCCTCATAGTTTCCCTGTAGTTTTTGGTATTTCACTTTGAGCTCACTGTTCTCACTGAGCTTCCTTAGAACCATTGTTTTTAATTCAATATCTGATAGTTTACTTGCTGCTCTTTCATGTAGTTCTCTTTGTGGGAATTCCTCCTTTCCTTTCAATTGAGGGCATTTCTTTTTCTTCCCATATTTGTGGGTTCTGTTTCTGAAGTTGATTTCTCTTGATTTCATGACTTTGTGATGTGAACTTCTTTGGTAGGAGGCCACTTTTTTTCTCTTTCCTTCTTTCTGGATCTGCCTCTGATGATGTCAGCTGTTAACCCCATCTGACCTTAGGCAGTCTTTAAGAGATTTCCAAGTATCTACACTCTGTGTCGGTCTCCTCCAGCTGTTAATATAGTCACTCTGCCCTCAGCAGTCAGGTAGGGGCCACGTCCCTCCTTGGAGGGGGTGCTATTTTGTCCTTTCACGCTGCTGCCCCTCTGGGGAATAGTCTGCCTGGGCAGTATGGCTGCTGCTGTACAGTGGAATAGTCAGCACCAGGGTCCCCCAGGCTACTCCCTTAATTCTCTCCCTAACACCTCCATTGCCTGATTTTCCTCAAGCATCTCTAGACCACTCTGCATTCCCTTTCACCTGGGATCTACTATCTGTGACTACCTCTCTGTACTCAGCAGTCAGGCTTGCCCAACACCAGGCTGGACTGAGCCTCTTGGGGGCAGGGCTATTGTGTCCCTTCACACTGCTGCTGCTGGGTGGAGTGGTTTGCCTGAGCAAGATTGCTGCTGCCACATGGGAGAGGAGTTAGCACCAGGATTTCCTTGGCTACTCCCTGAGGTCTCTCCCCAATGCCTTTGTCACCAGACTTTCAGCAAGTGTCTCTAGACCACTCTGCTCTCGCTTTAGCCAGGGGTCTACTATCTGTGACTGTCATTCTGTGTTCAGTACCTGGGAATGAGAAATACCGGGCCAGGGCCGAGCCTCTTGGTGACAGGGCTATTGTGTCCTTTCATGCTGATGCTGTTTGGAGGAGTGGTCCAACTAATAAGACGGCAGCTGCAGAATGGAGGTTGAGTCACCACGTGGCCCCTGCTATCCACTCTCTCAGTTCTTTTTCCCAAGTCTCTTTCTCCAGTCTCTCTTCAGGTGGCTCCCACTGCTCTGCCCCTGCCTCTGCCAGAACCCAGGGACAGTGGCTGCCACCACAAATTTTTGTATTGGCCCTTTAAACAGCTCTTTGTTTCTCCAGGCACTTGTCTCCAGCAGAGAGCACTCTGAGGCTTTTCACTGCTGGCTGTTATGTGTGTTTTGGGGGCTCTGGTGCTGTAGGCTGGAGATCCCGACTTATGGTTTATACTCTGCTCTTCTCAAGAGGATCCAATGGCAGTTTCAATATCCCTTGGTGCTGCACCCATGGGCACCCAGTCCACCTTCTCGAGCCTCTACTGCATGCCATACCAATTAGACTGTTCTGAAGCTGATTCCTCATTTCTTTTTTGAAACAGCTATAATAATAATTCATTTTTAACTCCATCTCACTATATCATGACTAATTTGAATAAAATATGAGCCCACAGAATATCCAAAAGATAAATCTCTGCAAAATGCAAGGGAAATGCTTTTCACTAACTCTCTAATTTCTATGCCATATCTAAAAGCAGTTGTGATTTTACTTGAGGACTTAATGATATGTCAGTGGGTTCTTCTATAGTTAGTCAAAAGAGATTATTTAAACTGGTTCAGGGTGATCACCTGGACATGAAAATTGCTATGCTCATCCTGGATGGTTGTGTATTGGGAATCGCCCCATCTGGTTTCAGGGACTGTGGCCTCACCGACAAGCGAGAGGGCCCCAAAGCTGGAAATAATCAAGGAAGCCTTGGGAAAACAGGCAACTAAGGAGATGAAGCCTGTTCCCCTGTCAGCAGTGCATCCCTTGCCTCCCTCCCATCACCCTGCTTAGCTCTGTGATGGTCGGATGTTTATGATGGGTAAGTTCTCGCAATAGAAGGGACAACCTAAGCCTGACATTGGCCGGTATGGGCAGCAGGACAAGGACTTGGGGGACATTGAGAAAGGGCAAAAGGCTTATACCCCTTGGCTCAGGTTGGATATGGCTGACATTGGGAAACACCGTGTCTGGTTTCAGGAACTGTAACCCCGCCTAGAGGCTGGAGGGCCCCAAGCCTGGAAATAATCAGGGAGGCCTTGGAGAAACAAGCTCCTGAGGAGATATAACCTGCCCCTCCTGGGAGGGGTGTAGCTCCTGCCTTTCTGATTTTCCATGTGATGATTGGTAATCCATGACAGGTAAGTTATCTATCTCAAACTGGAGATGACAACCTAAGACAGATATCAATCAAGGTATTGGCAGAAGACAAGAAATTGGGGGACATGGAGGAAGGACAAAAAGTCTGTACCCCTCAGCTCATCTTGGACATGGATGGAGTCCTCATTCTATCTGGAAGAAGTCTCCTTGTTTCTTGGTGGCTCCCTCCCCACACTTGGCTCAGGCTCAAAACAATACTGGAGTCAGTCCTAAACCAGATCTGGTGGTTCCCAGGGGAATCAGGCCTAAAAGTAAATTCTTTAAAGTGTGCTTTGTTCTTCCCTCAGAAGCTACAGCCAGCTCATGCAGGGAAGGAAATTTACATTATTTACAGACCCTAACCTTATACCCTTAGGCACTCATGTTTCCTACGCTCTCATGTTTAGTCATCTCTATTGTTTACTAGTCTCCTCTCAGACTCATGTAAATTGGTGTGTTCTTGCAATTTACTTTCTTCAAAACATCACCTATTCTCTGTGAACATTAACATACTGATGTAATGCGATAACCTGTGCATTCCTGTTACCTAGCCCCACTGATAACCTTTTCAATAAAATTCTTTGAACAAAGGGACTCAGGGCCTTCCCTACCAGAGGGATGTGCGACATCCCTTCTCCTGGCAAACAGAGAAGTGTTTGTGATGACTCATGTTGATTACCCCCACCTGTGACACCCCTTGGATGGGCTCTGAGGGATTCAGAGCCCTGCTCCCTCCTCAGCTGGTCCCAGAGAGTAACCCTCAAATCCAGGAGTGCCCACACCCCATGTTCCTTGTAATGCATTGCCCCCTGCAACAGTTATTGAGGAAGAACCTGCCAGAATGTGAATCAGAAAGATAAAAGATTCAAGTCTTCCAGCCGCCTCCACTTGCTCTTGTCCATGGTCTTTCCTCAAGTGAGTACACACATGGCCAGATAGCAAGATCAAAACTTCAGTGACTTAAAAGCCCTCTCCTACACACAAAATCAAAATATAGCAAACAAATAAAGCAAATGACATCATTGATGAATTTACATGTATTTAAGGTCATATTACTTATATATTATTCTATATTATTTCCCC